CCCATTGATTTCAATGGACTGCCTTACATGTCGCAAAGTAGCTCATGAAACATTTGAATGTATTGTAGTTTGTGCGTTTCTTACTATGTGTTTTGCTGCATTTGTCACGTTTTTTCATCCGACAAAATGTGTGTTTGCACCTGCATTTGGGGTGCCATTAACAATTAATGGCACCAAAAGAGCGACTAATTCATTTTAGGTGTATAAAGGTGGCAATACACTATACAACCTGATTGCACATTGTATCTACAATCTCTTTTAGAGGTGCCAAAATATAAAATAGTAGGTCACATCAGTTTTTCCAATTACCCTGTATTCAACCAGGCAGACCCTTGCACTACATAACAGTAGTTGATGGTAGATCTAAAGGAGATTGTAAAATCTTATTGTATACTGTATGGTGAGCTTTGGAGGCTTCCAGGAACACACTTCTCCTTCTTGTCCCACTCCTGTTTTCAATACTTCAGCTCTGCTCCACATAGGCTTTTATGTGATCACTCAGCTCCTGCACACCCTGCCAAATGAACAAACTATTTAAGATGAATGTACAAGACAATCGATCACTGGCTGTGTATTTAGTGAGAACAGAGTTCACTGATAATGAGTGCATTGGAAAAACATGAAACAGCAGAGGTGGGTGGGAGTAATCTCCTTTAGGGGGTGGGCAGGTGCAGGGTGTGTGTTAATGAGGTCAGCTTGTGAACGCTTTCCTCCTAATGGCTTTTCCATGCCAAATACCAAATTCCAGGATGGAGCATGAAGTAATGGAGGAGTTTTCTATAGAAAACTGGAGATAAGACCTGTACTAGAAGACAGAGAAAGCTTTTTCTTTTCTGCAAAGGAGATATATTAATGGTATATTGGTACATAGGGAAGCTGGAATTTAGAAAACAAATGTGAACTTAGCCTTTAAACTTCCATGACCATAGCAAATATAACAAGAGAAAAGGGGCATCCCTGTAAAGTATCATTAGTGATTACCAAATCTGTGGACAACATACCATTAGCATTCACCTTTGCAGAGGTGTCTAAGTACAAGAACATGATGACGAATAAAATTGGGCCCATAAAGCTAAATCTTTCTAAAACCTGTCTGGTAAATAATCAGAGCCTTCTCTGCATCCAATACCATGATCAGAGAAGGCATTCCAGTCAGCTCAACTTAAATTATACTTAAGATTCTCCTTGTCTTGTCCAGAACTTTTCTACCTTAAAATAAAGCCCTATCTATCAGGCGAGATTAGAATTGGTACAATATCTATTAGTCAAAGGGAAATTGTTTTAGCCAAATTGTTGGAATTTTTTTTTTTTTAAGTAATATCGCTGATGCTACAAGAGATGTAGCATTTTTAAGGAGCCTTGGTATAGTAAATATGATAGTTTGTAACATTTATTTGGAAATGATCCCATATCAATTGCATGATTGAAGACATCTGCTAGGTTGGAAGAGAGGTTTGTCTAAATTGTTTATTATATTCTGAGGGGAAACCATTGGTCTTTGGCAATTTATGATTTGGAAGGATATCAGTTGTGTGGCTAACCTCCAAAGTGGAGCATTGCTGAGATAATTTCTCCAGCTGTGCTGGCATTAGTGAGGGTAGTTATATAGCATTTAAAATTCCTTCTTCATTTTTGCTTTATCGGGTTGGGGACTGTGAGAATCAGATTATAAGTTACATAATGAGCTATAAAAAAGCTAAGTGAGTCAGCTACACTTTGAAGGCTAAGTATTTTCTTTTGAGTCACAGACAGGTTATTCTGAATTTAATTTGTTGTGATTTTGATCATTTGGCCAGATATGGTCAGCTTTTAGTACTCAAAGAGTCAAGCTTAAAGTGTTTCAATAGGTGTTCATGTTCATACAATGAGAAGTTTCTAAGTTTTTGTCTAGTTACAACTCCTCTGTAACAATAGGAGATACATTGTTTTTTATAAGAGTTAATTTGTTTTAATTTTCTGCAATAATTTGGATAAACAAGAGTTGTCTCTAATTTTTAGTGTAAGCAGAAAACTTTAAAGCTACATTTTCTACCACATCAAAGGATGAGATGAGACATATGTTAATTAGATGGAAAAAAAATAATTTTTTTATGTCACAGTAAAGCGCCAGAAATATTGTATGGACACACAGCATACCATGCATGCTTTTTTTTACTAGGCAACAATGCAAGAAGCAAAGACTAGGCAGGTTTGATTTTCCTAAAATTTAAATTAGAGTGCACTTTTCAGAGCCATAAGCCAGAAAAACTGAGGTAATTTGATGCACAGTATGTACCCCTTATTTGTTAACATTGTATGTCACAGAGAGATATGGCAGACCTAATTTTGGATAAATAAATCACAATGTTTTTTTCCTCAGATTGTAACAGATGATGCAGACTGCTTGAAGCCTTTTTGCTATTCCACTATTTAGAGGGGGAAATCAGGCAGATTACTTAAAAAAAAGAAAGTTTAGAGTTATTTTCTAAGAGTGAGGACTTTCAGTTTTCAAGGACACCTTTTTAGGCCTTTATTAAATAGGCTGCAATTTTATGAATGAAAGAGAGAAATCAGAATTAAAGTTTTGCAGTACGATTATAAGACCTGTATGGACAGGCTGCAATTTATAGGGGATTGAACAGGCATTTTTCACATTCTGATCTCTAATTTTCTGTCTGATTACCATAGACAACTCTCTCCTTTGCTTTCTCTTGTAAGTGTTTTGTTTTCTGCACACAATGGTACCCAACAGCAGAGTAACTCCATTTAAACAGGTTAACTGATCAAATACAAGATTGAAGGCATACTTGATACCAATTACACAAAATAGTTTGAAATATCATTAAGTTTCAAATATTTATCAATTTTTTTTTCTAGGGGTACCAGCAACATAAAAGACCGTTTTAGAGTATCTTTTCAGAAAAAAAGCAATTATGTACTGTATTTTTTTCAAATTTACATTGCTTTACTCTATGATAAACCAAAGGCATACAGATATACAAATGGGCAATGTTTCAGTGAGCTGTAAGAGCATAAACATTTTTTTTCATGGCTGTCAGAACAAAACAGAAATTATTGCAAAATAATGTACATTGGTATCCGGCAGCGAATCTCACACACACATCATGTACTGTATATAACAGAAAAAAATAAAACAATAATAAAATACATAAGTGATAACTAACCACCTTAATATCAGCATGTTACAACCCCTTTTATTTCCAGGCCATTTTCAGTGCTGTAATAGTTTTGATTGAAAATGATTTGATCACGCAACACACAATTTTTAGATAGATAGAGCTTTCATTTGGTGGCATTTAAACCAGAACCAGGTTTACTTTCACTTTAAATAATTTGTTTGGGCTCACTTGGATCAAAAAAATTCTTACCATTGCAGAATGATCTGGCCACTGGGGATGCTGTAATATGCTTTAGTAGCTTGTGCTCAGAAAGTACAGCTTCTCCATCATTCAGGAACATATTTTTATTTTTATCAATGAATACAAGACCTTCCCTGAATGGCTGAGGTGGTGATCATGATGAGCCAATCAGAGAATGTCTTGTTGATCAGTGCCATTTTAAAACTCCCCCAACCCTAAACATTTGCAGTCAGGGGCACTTTAAACCACCAAACAAAATTCCCACAGTCAATGACTGTGGGAATTTTGTTTGGTGGTTTAAAGTGCCCCTGACTGCAAATGTTTAGGGTTGGCATTTTAAAACCCCCACCCCTTCTCCCATCAATGGTGGTCACTGCCTTATTAAACCCCTTCTCAAACATATCTCAGAGTAGAACTGCTCACATTTGTGATTGCTATAATCATATTTCTGTTCTTTCTATCTTTGTTTTAGAGACGGTGGGCCTGGAACAAAGATAAAAATGTGCAGCACACAAAGGGCAGCTTTGTCTATGGTATGAATGAGTGGCACGACCAAAGCTAACTTGTGTGAACCTTTGGTTTTCCCTCCTGCAGCTATGCCTACACTGTTGTAAAATAAAGCCACCAGATTATATAAATGCAATGGAAGCTATGGCAAACAGGTGGGTGAAATAGGGGGTGCTTTGGAGTACACCTCTGTTGCACAGAAGTGTGCAGTGACATGCTGTCAACAAAAGGGAACTTTGCTTGACTCAGCAACAAGTATGCAACCAATGCCATATTTTAGGATGGTAGCCAGCATTTTATGATTAGGCCTTCCCTCAGCTGTGCCTACAGGCAAGTGGATCCAGTCGCCATGACAATATGCAGCAAAGAAGCTTTTTACCATGCTGCCTTAGAATGTGTGGGCACTAAGTGCTTTTGCTTTGATGGTGGCATAGATCCCCATAGGATTTTACCTTGGATTTGGAAGGGCTGAAATGCCCCCCTTGAACATTTCCAAATTTCCTCTTCCTGCTTGCTGCCAGCAACCCAACTCTCCTCTTCCTCTTTACAGCCAGTGGCCCAACCCACTTCCCTCTGCCTTCTGCTACCACTAATTCACAGGGTTGAAGATATTAGTCATAGGATCCTGATGGTCCTGAGACAGCAGAAAGTCTTCCTGTTCCTTCTGTGCCTCCAGTGTCAAGGTTATTACACCACACAGTGTGTGCTCCTGAAGGGATTTTGTCGTTAATCCCTGAATCATTGTGGCTCAGCATTCTGATTTCCACTTCAAGTGACAAGGTATTGTTAAGTTCTGAATCAAGAACAACCCAACTGAAAGATGGTCCAGTCCTGCTGGTGCTGCCAGTGCCATTATGTTCTTGCATTTAGGTGCATATATCAGGTGCTTGGCAGGCAACTGGCGTTGGCGCTGCATTTCAGTCAGGTGAAAAACCAGTGGGTTGACTGCTTAACCACCTCCCACCCACCCACCATATAGTCCAATGACTGGCGCAAGGTGGTTCTCTCGTTCTGGGAGGACGTCATATGACATCCTCCCATTCTCACCGCGTATGTGCAGCACAGGGAGCGCGCAGCGCGGCGATCGGCGGCGTGCTGTGTCCCTTGGACATAGTGGATAACCAATCTATGGAAAGAGCTGAAGAATGTCGGCTCGGTCATGTGATCGGCTGTGTCCAATCACAGCTGATCACATGTAAACAGGGAAATGCCGGTTATCAGCATTTCTCTCCTCACGAGCTGTCACGCTGACAGCTCGTGAGGAGAGAAGAGCCGGTAATCGGCATTCCTCGGAGGGGACATGTACACTGATCATCAAGACACTGATGATCAGTGTGCCCTGATGATCAGTGTGGCCCCAGAAGTGCCACCTGTCAGTGTCCATCAGTGCCAGCTGTCAGTGACGAACAGTGCCACATGCCAGTGCCCATCAGTGCCACATCAATGCCACATATCAGTGCCTACCAGTGCACATCAATGCCACATATCAGTGCCCATCTGAGCTGCCTTTCAGTGTCACCCATCAGTGCCAGTCAGTGCCACCTATCAGTGCTGCCAATCAGTGCCACCTATCAGTGCTGCCAATCAGTGCCACCTATCAGGGCCAGTCAGTGCCGCCTATCAGTGCCATATATCAGTGCTGCCTTTCAGTGCCCATCAGTGATGCCTGTCAATGCCCATCAGTTCCACCTACCACTGCCTCCTCATCAGTGCCCATCAGTGCCACCAATCAGTATCCATCAGTGCAGCCTATCAGCGCCCATCACTGCAGCCTCATTAGCGCACATCAGTGAAGGAGAAAAATCACTTATTTTTCAAAATTTTATAACAAAAACTGAGAAAAAATGTTTTTTTCACAATTTTCAGCGTTTTTTGGTTTGTTTAGGAAAAAATAAAAAACCCAAAGGTGAATAAATACCACCAAAATAAAGCTCTATCTGTCACAAAAAAACGATAAAAATTTCATATGGGTACAGTGTTGCATGACCGCGCAATTGTCATTCAAAGTGTGACAGTGCTGACAGCTGGAAATTGGCCTGGGCAGGAAGGGGGTATAAGTGCCCTGTAGGCAAGTGGTTAAAATGACCTCACACCCTTCTGGCCTGCTGCAGGGCATATTGAAAGCTAGGGTACCTAACCAGTAACTACCGCATCTTTCTTTTGTAAGCTATTAATTCCAGTAAACCACCATGTAATAGAGATCAATAAAGGCAGACATGTTTGAAGTCCAGTCTGTGTGACAACCATGAGACAAGCAATGTGAAACACTCAGAATTACCAGGTTAAACCAAAGAGAAAGAAGCCTGGAAAAACAAATGCAACCATTACATCTAACGACTGGTAGAATGCAAAATATTATATTTTGTTTTTTGGGTTCCATTACACTTCAAAGTATATGTGAAGCCTTACCTTGCAAAACAGCCTAATTAGTTTAAAGTAGAAATGAAAGGCAAATCATTTGTGTATTAATATTAATTACTTGCCAATTCTGAAAATTCTCACATATATTTAAAAATCAGCATTTTTTTGATAAAAAAAATTACCTAGAACCCTGAAACATTGTATATTTTTAGGCAGAGGCCCTAGAGAATAAAATGGTGGGTGTTGCAATCTTTAATGTCACGTGGTATTTACACAAATGTTTTGGAAAAAATACACTTTAGTGAATTTAAATGCATAAAAACACAATATAATACCCATTTTTTTTGTAAAATATAAAAGATGATGTTATGCGAAGTAAATAGATACCTAACATGTCACACTTTAAAATTGCATATGCTTGTGGAATGATGCCAAACTTCTGTACCTAAAAATCTCCATAGGCAATGCTTTAAAAGCCTTTACAGGTTACCAGTTTAGAGTTACACAGGAGGTCTGGAGCTAAAATTATTGCTCTCGCACTGACGTTTGCGGACATACCTTGCATGTGTGGTGCAATCACAGTTTACATATGCTCGTGGGACTTACATATGCGTTCACATTTGCACGTGAGCAGGTGGGGGGGGGGGGATTTGGCATTTGACATTTTGCTATTTATTTTATCTAAAACCTTTTTTACACTGTTCCTTTAAATTTTTAAGCAACTTTATTGCTATTGCAAGGAATAAACAACATCCATTGTGATAGCATGGGCCATGACAAGTCCTCTTTATGGACAGCTCTGGGGTGTATAAGACCCCAGATCTCTCCTCTGGCCTCCAATGCAGCCAAAGAAGCACAGATTCGTCTGATCGGCTGATTCACTGGTCGGTAACCGGTCAGTAAACACAGAACCGAAACTGGAAGTTACAAAATCCTCGTTGCTTCCAGTTTCTGATCTCACAGAGAGGGAGGAGCAACATCAGTTCTACTTCCATGTGCAGATCACAGGATGCTGCTAATCGGAGTGGTCCAGGGCTCCCTGATGGGAAGGGAGAGCCCGTAAAAGGTGGTAGTGCCAGTGGGAGGGGGAACCCCCTTCCGCTGCCTGTAGAATTGATGTGCCTGTAGAAGTGACAAGGAGCTGTATAGCACTCAAATCACTTTTACAAAAAAGAGCATTGCTGGTTGAAAAATTTGATACTGGGATGATGACTGCAGGCATCATCCTGGTATAACCATTTCAACCTGGTGATGTCATATGACATCCACCCAGGAGAAATTGATTAAAAAACATTATAAATACCGGTACCTTTTTTTCTTTTTTTATAAGTGATCATATTATCTGTTTTTCAGCTGCATAAGGGGCATGTCAGCATAAGCTTGATCATTGGAGGACAGATGGGCTATTCTACCAAATACAAAATCTAACTATATATATTGTCTCTTTAAATAATAAAACACAATATATGCCCAGTTCACTGTTATTACACAGTGTTAGCACCATACAGTGATGTAGGTACCTAAATTCAACAGTGCCAAAAATTCCAAACAGTGCAAAAAAGTTTAAATGCTGTGACACAATCTTACCGCAGGTAATCCATAAATGCCAACAATCCTTAATTCAATCTCCATGCTCTCCCACCATACATGAATTGCATTCTTCTTTCTGGAGGCACAGATCCCAGATGATAAAAGATCAACAGTGCTTCAGGGTGGGATAACCCAAACAGCCACCAGGTCACACTGCATCGTGGACCACCAGTTCCTCAGCTCTTCCACCACTTGTATAAGTCTGTAGTCTGGGATGCTAATTCATACCACAAGGCCCGTTGGAATGAAGGAACTATAATGCATTATCTCTATATACCTAAATTTTGTTTGTTTAATTCTACTTACAGAGAGCTGTGTAAAACACAGCTAGCAGCATGCCGCCGGGGTGAGCGCACATGTATGATGACATAAGTGCAAACGCCTCACCCCTACATGTTTCATCCTTGTAACTATCGTTGGGGTGGTTGCATTTGCATGTGTGTCCAGGTGTTTTGAGCTTTGCTTGTGGTTTTACATCCCTTTTTTAGACTTTTTTTATGTGTCTTTGGAAGATTTTTTTTTTTTTAGTGCATTACGGGTTGTGTGGGGATGTATTCTTTTGATACTGTGTGGAATTTGGCATTAAAATTAGCATGGCTGTTTAAGAAGTAGGTGTAATATATCTTTGCAGGTTTGGGGGTGCAGGGGCCTGCGAGATTTGTTTTTTTATTATTTAGGTCTCTTTATTATTGTTTTTTTTCTTAACCCTTTTACTACTTATTTATGTTGGGGAAAATAAAGTTGCTTTCCTTACATTTTGACTTTTGTAACATCTCTTTTGAGGTCAGTGGCCCCTGTCTTTCTTACTATTACACAAACCCTATTTTTTTATTGGATATTAAGGGACACAGGATGAAGGGAAATCAGACTTTTAAGGTACCCGACAACTTAATAATTTAAAATATCATAATTTTATTTATTTTATGATTAAATGAAGTAACCATGTATATTAAAACAATAGATCTGACCACATTATACAAAGGTAGATAATAGGAAACCTCATTCAAGAAAACACCAGAGGTATTATAGATATACAGTATGTAATCCATACATATTAACGTAATAGTACTCACATATATAGCATTTGATTTGATTGGTATCCAACTGGGAGTGAGAATGGCTTTCAACTCAACAATGTTTTCCAGTGTCACAATGAAGAGATATTTTGTATACACACTGTACATGGGCAGCAGAGTGACTAAGTGGTTAGAACTTTCATCTGGCAGCACTAGTATTGTTGGTTTGAAGCACAACCTGCCTGAGGTTTGCAAGTTCTCCCTGTGCCTGCATGGGTTTCCTCCTGGTACTCCGGTTTCCTCCCCCACACTTCAAAGACATGTTAGTAGGTTAGTTGGCTCCTGTTTAAATTGGACCTAGTATGTGGTATGTATGAATGTGAGTTAGGGACCATAGATTGCAAACTCCTTGAGTCTAGGGACTGATCTGAATTTCAATATATATGTAGCACTGCACAAATTGTACCTGTACCTGTAATAAATAAATAAAAATACATAAATAAAAATAATATGCTGGAGCAAAGCCATTAAATGTCTCCAGGGCGAGTGCCAGAACTGCCAAGCAAACCTACCAGAAAGCCAAGGGACAACGCTAATGCAAGGTGTAGCATCATCAAGCTTAATCTTGTACAGAAAGTGTCAGTAAGTAGATTACAAAAGTAGGAAAATTCAAAAATCGGAGGACCCCGCTCTTGTAAAACTTGATGTTGTAAGTGTGTTAATAGTTATATTCTGCATTTAGAGTGTTCAAAGTTCCAAATCATGCAAAGTCCTAACTCACAAGGGGGGCTCATAAGCCATAGCATTGCCAGAAGCAGGCAGGGAGTGGTAAGTGGTCATCAAGTCACTTACTGGGGAAGGTCCCCACAGGGGTTATGGTGGGACAAACAATGAAAATGTCCATTAATGGCAATTATTATAAAAGGTAAACACATACAATATTAAATTAAAAAAAAGGATGAACCACCCGAGCAAAGAATTAGGGCAGGCCTTGAAATTTCCAGTCGCCTGCTAGCCAATGGTGAGTGGAAATTATGGTGGGGGCGAGTGTGTCCCCCAGGGGCGTATTTGCTGCAAGGCAAACAAGGCGTTTGCCTAAGGCGGCACTTTTTAGGGGGGCAGCGCAGCAGCAACGCCGACCCCCTCTTTCCCACGGAAGGGATACTTAGTAGAGGGGCGGGCTGCTGTGTCTTACCTGGGTCCGCGATTCCGTTTTCCAGTCCCACGTCTATCCAGTCCACGAGGTGCTGCTGGAGGAGGGGTAGGGAGGTTGTCAGAGGGTCCAGTGTCTTCATTTTTCCCTGGATCGCGATGTGTGGGCAGGATGACATGCCACCCCTGTCATCTTGCCACACCCCCAGGATCACTCAACAGCCTATGGCAGCTTGTCCCTCCCTCTGCAAGCTCCGCCTCCTCGCTGATGATTGACCTCTGGAACTGTAGCTCAGGAAAGGCACACACTTGGCCAATCACCGGCGAGGAGGCGGAGCTTGGAGAGGAGGAGCCGAGCAGCAGCGCGAAGATCAAAGAAGTCAGAAGCCGGCGCAAGTAAAGAGGAGAGTGGCCAGAGAAGGAAGACAGCTGACCGGTAAGTGTCTGTGCCGTGCAGATGATGCTGCTGCT